GCTCCTTTCCTGATGTAATCAGGAGCTAGAGAGAAATCCTCTTATGACAATTCAACACTTGTATAACTATTCTGTTGACACATCATTCATAGCTGGGATAACTAACCCTTCTCTGGCTTGACCAGGTCTTCACTCCAAGCTTTGTGGTTGTGGTGACATGGCATGGCTTAAAAGTGGTTTCTAGCACTGATCTGATCGCTCAATATTTCACCAAGTTGACTGCCTTACATACTTACTCATATAGTCTCCCTGGGGTATTTTCAACTGACAAAAGATTTTTCACTTTATGAGGCCATCTGTCTTTCTCTGAAAGGTCATCCTATAAGATATCAATATTGGACAAGTCAGCACTCACCCTTACTACTCATACAATTTTGTGAAAGCTGATCTTATATGTAGAGCATCTCACACTGTGTTTCCAATTCGTCTAAATCCTATACAATATGAAGTCTGTCTACTTCACTAAACCTTCCAAAACCTTTCATTCTACCTAATTAGACACCTAAGGCAGTGGTTTTCAATGATGGAATTCTGGTATACTTGTGTATACAGAATCTTGGAAGAGAGAAAAAGAGAGATGAATTACAGATGGCTTTCTGAAATTTCTATACACTTTATGCATGATGTAATCTGTTAAAAATTTAGTCATACTCATAGATAGAAGTATGTACAAGAATATCTTCTTTCAAGTGCCAGACTAAAAAAGGATGCAGGCTTTCATCTATAGCATCCTATGTACTTTTGTCTAGACCATTTATTTTGGTACTTAGCTTATGCCACCTCGAGTTGAGCAGTTTCAATATATTTCTTGTTTTGAATCAGCTAAATTATATTATTTGAGGATGGATTATCTTTATATCCTAACAAGAAAGTAGCAAACTTCTAAGTTCTCAACACATGTCTATTAAGAAACTCAATGAGTTTCAAAGTGCTACATGTGACTTGAAAAGATGGATACCATAGATTGTTTATGAAAACCCATCCTTTCAGTGAATGTTCTTCACCAGTAGTTCGTAGTACAACACATTGGCTGATGTTTTATTAGGTTAATAGTTCAGACTTGCTGTCCACAATAGAGGAATAAATGAATATTTGAGATTTTACTAATCCAAAGGTGGACTAAAAACATGGTTGTCAATCTGTATCTATCAAATATGCCTGTCAATTAACTGATTGACCCTAGATAACTGATACACCTTCTGAGTCTCAATTTCTTCATTTAGAGTGATTATAAAGACCAGATTCAAGTACTTTGAATGCTATAAAATCATTATGTGAATGTATCTTATTATTATTGGAGTAGTACCAATATTGTATTATATTTGAAGGATATAGTGTTTCCCTAGCACCATTCCATTAGCTCCAGGAGACACATATATGCACCATTAATATTGGATTTACAGATAAGAGGGGTAAATGCTAGATAAATAATAGGAAGGGAAAATAAAGCAACAGATATGAAATGTTGGTTATATGTCATACAATATTTCATAGTCTTCCCACATTTTATCTTTTTTCAATGTATGGTAAAAATGGCACTTATCACGAGTACACTTATATAGATAAATCAAATAAATCTACCAAATAAATCCAAATGTCCATCATGCTCTGCAGATATCTAGTTAGATTTCAATTTGTGAAGTAAAAATTTGGTTGTTAAAATACACCATAATGAATGTAATTTGAGCCTATAACTGGAAATAATCACAAAAATAATCATTTAAATTTTATACACATTGAAATTTAAAGTGTATTTGTATATATCATATTTTTATATTTGCAAAAATCATGTGAGGTAGACAGGGTTGCAATTAACATGTCAGTTTTTACAAAGTTGAAGTGGGTTGACCAAAATTGCACAGACAGTAATGGTGGAGGCAGAAGAACCAAGGTCTTCTTAATCTAAAGTGAGTGTTCTTTCTGGATTTTTCATGCTGCCACATCAAGCGAAATGAACCTCATGCTCTTCTTTTTTACTCTAGAATGTGTCAGAAACCTCACCAATGAGAATAATTAATTCTCGTTAATTTATCATTAATTTTTAATTCATTTAAAACACCATTAAAATTGTTAATAAAATCAAAGCTGATTAAACATAATAGCATAGGTAAACTAGTTGAATTTTTATAAGTTTTAAGAATTCTATATCTTAAGTAAAGCAATTCGGTGTTAGCTAAATAAATGAGTTATGTTATAATTTGACTGTCTTGAATGAGGATAAGAAAGAACTGGACCTGGAAAAATCATTGTCCTGTTCCAAAAAATAATTCTTTGAAATAAAATAAATTTTTCTTTGAATTAAAAAATTCAACTTAACATTCTGTGTGGTGTTTTAAAAATAACAAATAAAATTAAACTGACAGCTATCTTCCCTATCTTCTGTTCCTTGAGGAGTTAAAAAAAAAACACACAGAAGAACCCACACTGTTAGTGTTATTTTATTTTGTGTTTGATGATAAATAAAGAGTTCCTGGCACACACAAAATCGTCACTTCTGGGTCACTAGTTCAAATGAGAACCATACTCTCAGTGTCAAATTGTGCAGCATTTGAACATCCTTTATTGTTCCTGATCCAGTCTGCTTTCTACAAAACATCACAAGTTTAGCAGAGAGATACAGACCTAGAAAGAAAGAAAAATAGAACCTAGAGAATTTCTTGTTTTAGCTTGGCTGCCAGTTATGGGACCTAAAAATTGACAATACTGCAACTCAGTTTAACTTTTTACCACCACCCTCTAGTCACTCAGAAAGAGAATTTAACAAAATAACAGCATTTTCCCAGGATGCAATGCACTAGTCACAAAAGATAAATGTAAGCAGAAATGGAAGAAAAGACAGCTCAGTCCTAGGATGCATGGAAAACGTGAGAGTAGAGTCAACCTAAACATTTGAGGCCAGGACCTTTATAAACCTTGAGTTTAATAGTAAACCCCAATCTCAATACAGTTCCCTCAAGAATCTAGTAGACAAGGAAAGGAGAAAGAACAGATATATCTGAAGCATCTAGCACATAGCAGGCTGTGTTAGGCTTATTTGATATTCAAACTAAGATATTAGGTGTCCATGAATAGTCACAGTACAAGAAGTTATCATTATTCTTTTTCATATGAGAAGGCCGAAATTTAAAGATTTTTAAAACTTGCCCAGGACGATTCATCCAGCAAGTTATAGGACTCAGAAATGAATGTTTTGGCTGAGGCTTCAGAACAGGTAGGAGTCTCTGTTCATTTCAGGATTAAATCAGAGAGACACTCCTCTCTGAGGAAAGCAGCAAGGATTTTAGAGTTTTCCATTTCAACAAATCTTATGCTGATGTTAATCAGAGCTACTGGACTTCCAACAGACATTCTGGGGAAACACATGACTGAAAATTTAGAGAATAAAAACTGGCAACATTCTGGGAGTTTCTAGCCATACCTCATCTTATTTGCTATAAATTATTTACAACACTTGAATTAGGATTGACCCAGATATTCAAGTGTATGTGACATTCTTTTCTTCTACTTTCAATGAAAAGCTTCTTAAACCTTGGAGAGATCAATACCCGTAGTTCAAATACATTAGCCTTCAGTCTTTATGTGATTTGAAATATTATATCCAGCATCTTAATATACTTAATATCCTTTCCTCTAGATTCTACTTTCACTTCCTACAATGAATTTATATTATACTACCATATTGCCAAGTCATTCTATGGGTCACCAACCCTTAATCCCAAATTACTTTGGTAGCTAGTATATTGTAGAATGCTGAGTTGTATTACTAATTGGAATTGAACTTTTCATTTCTTTGGCTTGATTCTCAACATATTGCCTTCTTATTAAAAACAGTTACATGCATTTCTCTGTCAGGTTCTTAGTTGGCTCATTTTCTTCTGCATCCTAATGTTATGATTCCATATATTTATTCAACTCTCCTCTAAGCACCATATAATTATGAAATGGAATTTCCAGCCCCTAATGTTTTCGGCAAATCCGCTAGGTAATTTCTACAGCCTGATTTGACCCTATTTCATTAAAGCAGCCCACTGTCCCCAGTGATTATTTTCTAGCTTAGATAATGTTGTTAAAAAATATAAGTAATTACACACAGAAAACTCATTTAAAAACTGATTGTGCCTATGATGTGCCAAACACTGAAACTCTTTACCTATGGGAGTATCAATTCAGTTTGATTCAATTTAACACAGATTTCTGGATGCCAGCTATATGTTAAGGTACTATTCCAGGTTCTGGGGATGTAAAGATAAATAGTACACAGTGCTCATTCTCAGGAAATTCACATACAGCAGGAAAAAACACCCCACAACAAGTGACCCTGATACAACATAGTAAGCACTATAAAAGAGTTATGGAGAAAATGTTAAGAACACACAAAAAAGAAGTCAATCAAGTTGACCTTGAGAGGACAATAGATGGTAGGTGTTTTTATAGATAGCATAGAGGTGGCTATTATATTTGGCTTCCAAGGATAAATGGTTGCTCTCTATGTTAAAAAACAAAAAGTGGGAAGCTCATTCTGAGCAGAGGGAAAAACAAGAGCAAGGGAATGGAAGTATAAACGTGCACGGGAGTTTTTGTAGGTACTTGGATCGGTTGACTGGGGAGAGAAAGCTAGAAAGAGATGTTGAGATGAATTATTTAAGGCTTTGGATGTCACATTGAAGAGTTAAAAAATTATTTTAAAAGTGACAGAACAGAAATGCACCTCATAATGACATTTCAGTCACTGATGGACCCCATATACAATGGTAGTCCCATAAGGTTAGTGCCATATAGCCTAGGTGTGTAGTAGGCTGTACTGTCTAGGTTTCTGTAAGCACATTCTATGATGTTCACACAACCAAGCATTTGTCAGAATGTGTGTCTGTCGTTAAGTGAAGCACGACTGTATTATTTTTGTATAATACGTTACATAACAAATTACTACAAACTTACTAGGTTAATGGAATGCTTCTTTATGACCTCACAGGCCAGAAATCTAGGCGTGGCTTAGCTGGATTCTCTGGTCAGAGTCTCAAAAGACCACAGTCAATATGCAGAGTGGGTTGGGTTCTCATGGGGAGATTTGACCAGGGAAGCAGATTCTGCCCTGCCTGGGTGGTTGTTGGCAGCATTCAGTCCCTCACCTCTTCAAAATCCACAAGGAGAGAGAGAGAGGCTGGAGTAAGTTGTGAGCAAGATGGACTTTTATATAACATAATGTAATTATGAGAGTGGCATCTCATCACTTTGGGCACATTCTATCAGTTAGAAGCAAGTCACAGTTTCCATGGACACTCAAGGGGATGAGATTACATAAAATTGTAAACATCAGGAAGTGGGGATCATGACAGTCACCTTAAAGTTTGTCCACCACAAGGAAAGAGATTTTTTTAAGTGGTGATGTACAAATACATATGTGTAAGAAACTAGTGTGACAGGTGAATGAATGGTGGTTTGAAGGTGGAGAGAGATGGAGACACATAAATGTAACTCTTTTATATTTTCTACATTGTAAAATAACTTTCCTTATAGAGATTAGTTTGTGTTATTTTTCTTCAGAAGAAAAAGACCATAAAGCTTCCTGGGATTCACCAAAAACATTTCCCCTGAGAAAAGAAAAGAAAAGTACCTTGGAACGACTAAAGGCATCTTTCCTTAGAAAAGGGAGGACCAGAGAAGGGGGCCCATTGTCCTGATGAATGGGTTAAAATTAGATTCTTTTATATTTCAAAGGTTTAAAATAGACTCCCTGGAAAGAAGCAGAGAAAGATGATAATAAGTCTTTGAGGAAACAGGTACCGAAACGAATTCTGACCTGGTTGCCCTTACTTAGTCTGTGGTCTAGGGAGGCATCAGTGGGCACTAATTGAACAAAAAGTTGTTGTGAAAGAGCATTATTCTTGGCTGGGGGAAAAGAGGATGTTGGAACAATCAACAAAAGCCCCTGGTTTTACCACTGTTTTTAAAGCACAACCTCTGGTTCAGTTTCTAGCAGCCACCTGCTTCTCCCCATGCTTACTTTGTGGGAGGTGAAATATATTCTCTCCTAACAACAGAGATGACTCACTCTAGCAGCACCCACATTAATTCTACATTCTGGCGCAGTTTCTCAGCCTTGGCTGCACAATTACAATCACTTTGGGAATATACATATTTTTCAAATATGGATGCCCACTTCTCACTGATAGATAATCTAATTCAGATGGTCAGAGATAGGCCCAGGTATTGAAAAAATTTTTAAGCTCTTTAGGCAATTCCAGTGTGCAACCAAGGTTAAAAATTATTGTGCTAGAAAACGTAGAATTTACCGCAGGGTGGGCAGCAAACATTATGCTAGACTTGCTGATGTTACTAGTAAATGGATGGGGAGCATGAGCTTCTCCTTTCTGAGGATGGGTTGGGGTACTGATAAACCCCACTTGGGGCTGGTTAGAATACATAGTGATACACTTTGTACGGTTATGTTATGAATGAGCAGTGGTGTGCTAGTAAATGTTTACCAACCAGATACCCAGGAAAGAAAAAATTCCTGAGTTATAGATTTGATGATTTCCATTATATAAATATTCCTATTATGGTTATTTTTAGACTTGATCCCTTAATATGAAGTTGGAAAGAGAAACATAGTAAATATGAACAATAACTTCGAGAGCATAGACAATAGTAAAACATTTTTTTAAAGTAATGAGTTTTGAGTATTTTCTTTCTTTCTAATATAGCGTTTAATTGTAAGTTTATGTTATTTAATTTTGAATAATGGTTGTGTTTAACAACTGATTCACATAATTCTTAAAAATGTGCAATCAGCCATCAGACATTTATGGACAAGTTAGTGTATGAAGTACACTACTGTATAAGCCAACTTGCCTTTGAGCAGGACTGATATTCAAAATACTTAACAAGCAGTTCTGCATGGGTACCAATCAATCAGAATGGATGCTGGCCAGTATGCCATAGCTGTGCCCACAAGGCTTTGAGTGTCTACAGGACAGATCCAACTCATCGTCCACCTTTGTATGTCTTAAGCTTTCTAGCACACTGCCTTGAGCGTAGTGAGTGATCCTTAGTAGTTTGGAAAGACTAAATGGCTGAATGAATGAATAAATAATTCCATAGTAGTGTCTATTATTAAGGAGTCATGTTTTAACTACGCCCCCTCCTTTTATAGAAAGAGTTTGTGATTGGCTGAGGATTTTCATAGAGGAAATGTAAACAGCACTTCATCTATTTCTTTCCCTTAGTGATCTTCTTTTCCACAGATTGAGGTTCTGCATTGAAATAGATGTCTACCCCACCTTCTGTGCTCCAGTAAATTGAAATTCCTGCTATTCTCAGAAATGCCTGGCCATCTCGTGCTCCATCAGACTTGTTAATTTCTTCTTAGAAGTCATTTTTCTTGACTTTTCCCATTGCCTATGTGCCTTTACTCTCTCAGTCAACTGGGAATCACTTACTCTTCTTTCAAGACTAGGAAACCTTTTTCTACTCTTTTCTATACCTGCTACAAGATTGGCTACATTCTCCCCTGTGCTTCCACTATGATTGCTCCATAATGCTAACATAAAATCTAACACATTCCATGGCTTAAGTGTTTATATATTTGTATTTGTTGACATTCCCTTCCTTATCCTTGGGGAGAATGTATGCCCCCTGAAGGCAACATTATCTTTGACATCTGCTTGCTGTCACCTCTTCTGTATCCTTTGAGGTTTTCTGCTGGGTACTACACATTAGCAAACCCCCATTCCTCCTTTCTAGAGCTTAGACTGTTTGAAAGCAGAGCCAATATATCATCTATCATTATTCCTATAACAAAACATGTGGTAGACTTTGGGGCTAGATTGCTTGGATTAGAATTCAGGTTCCATCATTAACTATATTTTCTGCCTCAGTTTCTTTATCTGAAAAAACGGTGTTAAAAAACGTATCCATCTCACAGACTATTAAGAGGATGGAATGAGTCAATTAACAAAAATTATGTTTAGAACAATGCCTGGAACATAGTGAGCATACAATAAACATCAGTTATTATTATTCTTACAGTAAACACTCGATAGATAGCTGCCCAATGAAGAACAGAGTATATAATAACAAACCAACAAGAATTAACTTCACTAATGCCATCCTTATTATACTACCCTATTTCCCAGCAAAGATGAATAAGTTGTAATATATATTTATCATTTTAATACTACACAATAACTGAAATTAATATTCTACTTTCTGTTAATCAAAGAAAGCGTTGATTTTAAGAATATCTTTTTCTCTCATTCTTTCTGAACTTAACTTCAGGGAGTTTTTGATCTTTTTATTCCATTAGCATCCTTCTAAACCAGAGAGTGCTTAAAAATGCATGCTGAACTTGTCACCTTTTCTCCTGTCGTACCACATGCCTTTTGAGATGGATCTCGCCTCTCCCCGAATTGGGAAGTTGTTAGTTTTGATGTAGCCTGACACCAAAGAAGACGTGTCCTTTTCATTTAAAGATAAACAAAGATAAATTGAAACACAAAAGGTAATAAGAAGTAAAATATCAGCTTTTTAACTCCTGGTCTAAGCAGGCTTTTGATTTCCAAGAGCACGGGAAACAGATCATTCAGCAGGAACCCAGGAGAACAGAGTTATGAAGTCCCTAGTACCTTAGTCTAGGAGAGCAGAATATATGGAGTTCTTTTCCCTCTGAAATTATGCTTAGGATAGTTGAATCCTTTCTGAGCATCCTTACTAATACCATTTTTGGTTCTATTGGTCACAAAAATTTCCTAAGAAACTATTCATTTTTAGTTGCATGGATTTCTTTATTTAATTAGGGGTCTGTCTTTTTTTCTTTTCAAGTCCTACAGATACTTGCACTGATAAACTGAAAGAGATTGCCTTTGGGAGGATGTAATCTGCCTGTAACTCATCAGTAGGAAAAAACAAAATCACTTCAAGAAATCTCATTAAACCCAAGTGATTGATTTTCATTTTTTAAATTAATCTTTCCTAAAATCAAAACCACTCCGATAAAAAAATGTGAATTGAAGCAAATTATTGAATATGAAAATGAAATATCTTCTCATGCTAAAATAATATATATCTTAGAAGTCAAGAATTTAGAAGTATTCTTCCTTATTGCAACTGTGTTGCTCTCCTACCTGTCCAACTGGTAAATCTAACAAAAGGAACAACTAAGTGTTGATGTAAATTGGGTGGTTTAGGCCATTTTCCAGGCATTAAACCAGAGCCAGTCTTTCTGAACCTATATGTGAAAATTCTTTATGTGCTACAACACCTTCAAATTCCTTGAAACTCTCATTACTTTAGAAAAATATAATTCAAAGATATATTATTTTCTTTAGATGCAGATTGAACAAGAAATAATACAAGAGATTTTTCAGATAATCTATAGAAAATACATTGGAAAAAGTATACAATTTGGAAGTCTACATCTTGTCGTCAAAGCTATTTTACAACTGGTGAACATTTTTTCCTTTGTTTCTTTGCTCCTAGCCAAATAATTACTCAGTAATAATTATGGAATAAAAATTACGATGGTGGGGGCTGGCCTGGTGGCGTTGTAGTTAGGTTTGCATGCTCCTCTTCTGTGGCCCAGGGTTCGCAGGTTTGGATCCTGGGCATGGACCTACACACCACTCACCAAGCCATGCTGTGGCAGTGTCCCACATGCAAAATAGAGGAAGACTGGCAACAGATTAGCTTAGCTCAGGGTCAATCTTCTTTACCAAAAAAAAAAAGAAAAACAAAAGGATAGGAAAACAAAGAAGATAAAAACAAATCCAGAATGAATTTAGGAATTTCTTCCTTCCTTCTTCCCTCCCTCCCTTCCTTCCTTTCTGTTTTGTATTTAACTTGAGTTTTTCCTAACTCTTTTTGTGCTTTGCTATATCCCAGATTAAAGATGTGTAAAATTCTTGCTTTATCTTTACTCTTGAGAGAGGGAAAAATAATGCAAATATTCTGATTGTTTTTTTTGGCACTCTACTTTCCTATATTCTTTCCTAGATGCTTTATTCCTGTCTTCCTTCCAAACAATTGAGGTGAAGACACTGGCTCTGCACAAGCTACAATACTGAGGATTTGTCAGTAAAATGCAGTGTCCCTGAAGGAGGCTACCTGTTTAACACTATTTTCTTCTAGGACGTTACATTCACATTTCTGACTTTTGCAATATTCTATTT